CAGCTGTCGGCACCGGAGAAGCAGGGGTTGATTATAATCGTGGGAACGCAGCCGGAGCGTGCCGCTGGTCTGCCGATAAAAAGCCCCGGCATACTGTGCGGCGGCCGGACATATTGGGTGGCGCACTGCTTAAGATTGTCGGCAATCCTCCGGCGACGCCGTTTGCACGCGCCCGGCACGCTGGTCAGCACTCGTCCGGCATACGTGTGGTGCCTGCGTGGATCCGCGCGTGAAAACACGCGGCAAGCGGTCCGGCTGTATGCCGGCGGTGTGACCTCATCAGCGTGTAGTAGCGCGGCGCAGCAACCGGCACCACGGCATAATTAGCATGTACCAGCGCGGCCGACGCGCGGCACGTCGCATACGAATGTCCGGCGTGCCGAACGGCATCTGGCAGGCAGTACGGGCGGCACCGTGCCCGGCGGTTCTCCACGCCGCGGCATTTCCAAAACGCACTCGTTTCATGGTCATATTGGATATGATGCGTCGGATGACTGGATGGTATGCAACATAGCATTTGTGTCCATAAAATCAGAATATGATGTGCGCCTACATTGCATTAAGCTTGACAGGATTGGTGGAACGTGATTCTTGGTCCACAAGTTCAACAATGCTCTCACCCGCTGGCTGAGACTAGTTTTAGGGTTTACAAAACCCTGAATTATTATACCCTAAGGTTGTGCGTCAAGCTGCAGGCGCCTGCTCTTCTTCTTCCTCGTTCATCTTTTCCATGTCTTCCCAGACATCTACATCCCTCTCAAGATTTTTCGGGGACCCTTTCTTCTTGCTCTTCTTCTTACCCCCGCCACTCTCCAGATACGCTATCGTTGCGGCAGCTAGATCCACCGCCTTGTCCACTGGCCTTATCTTCAGGGCCAACTTCTTCTTGTCGGCCTTCGCCTTCTTCAAGATCGCCATCACCTCCGCGGCCTGCTTGTCCATCGCTCGTGCGTTGACGTCGCGGTCCAGCGACAGCTTCTTGTTCAGCAGATGGGTTTGTACCTAAATAGCAGTTGGATGGAACAAGTGTCAGGTGCTGTCCACGATACGAGATGCTTGATGGAACTGTGCTCT